AATGTTAAAAGGGCTGCTTTAAGCAGAGGAAAGAGAAAAACAACCTAACTAACGAAGAACAGGAACACAAATAACAAAATGGCAATAACTGCGCACCTATCAATAATCACATTAACCAATTTGTGCTTTCTAATCCCCTCACCTTCTCCCTCACCCCCACCCCTCTCCAATCTAGCAATCATCAGTTTTTTTTCTGTATCTCTGAGACTGTTTCTGATTAGTTTGCTCATTTATTCTATTTAGATTCCACATATAAAGTGAGATCATATGGTATTTGTCTTTCTCCGACTGACTTACTTCACTTAGCATAATGTTATCTAGGTCCATCCATATGTTTGCAAATGGTAAGATTTCCTTCTTCTTTATGGCTGAGTAATACTCCATTGTATAAATGTACCACAGCTTCTTAATCCAGTCATCTACCAATGGGCATTTCGGTTGTTTTCATTTCTTGGCTACTGTGAATAGCATTGCAATAAACGTAGGGGTGCATATATTTTTTTGAATTAGTGTTTTGGATTCTGGATAGATACCTAAGAGTGGAATTGCTGGTCATAAGGTAGTTCCATTTCCAGTTTTTTGAGATATCTCCATACTGATATCCATAGTGGCTACACCAATCTGCAATCCCACCAACAGTGCACCAGGGTTCCCTTTTCTCCACATCCTCTCTAGCACTTGTTTGTTGATTTGTTGATAATAGCCATCTGACCGGAGTGAGGTGGTCTCTCATTGTGGTTTTAATTTGCATTTTCTAATGATTAGTGAGGTTGAGCATTTTTTTCATATGTCTGTTTGCCATCTCTATGTCCTCTTTAGAAAAATGTCTCTTCATGTCCTCTGTTCATTTTTTAATTGGTTGTTTATTTTTTTGGTTTTGAATTGAGTGAGATGATGATGATGATGATGATGATGATGATTGGGGAACAGTGTGTTTTTCCAGGACCTATCAGCTCCAAGTCAAGTAGTTGTCTCAATCTAGTTGTGGAGGGTGCATCTCAGTGGCCCATGTGGGGATCAAAACAGCAAGTTTGGTGTTATGAGCACTGCGCTCTAACAAACTGAGCTAACTGGCTGCCCCCTGAATGAATTTTTAAAATAAATTTTGGATATTAACCCCTTGTTAGATGTATCATGGACAAATATCTTCTCCCATTCAGTAGGGTTCCTTTATGTTTTATTGATGGTTTTCTTTGCTGTGAAAAAGCTTTTTAGTTTGATATAATCTCATGTTTATTTTTTCTCTTCCTTTGGCTGAGGGGATATATCAGTAAAAATATTACTAAGGTAATGTCTGAAAATTTACTTTCTATATTTTCTTCTAGGAATTTTATGGTTTTAGATCTTACATTTAAGCCTTTAATCCATTTTTAATTTATTCTCGTATATGGCATAAAGAGGTGGTCCAGTTTCGTTTTTTTCCTTGTGTCTGTCCAGATTTCCCAGCAGCATTTATTGAATAGACTTTTTTTACCCCAATGTAAATTCTTCCTTCCCTTGTAGTAGATTAAATGACCATATAGGTATGGATTTATTTCTGGGCTCTTTATTCTGTTCCATTGACCTATGTGTCTGTTTTTATGCCGGTACCATGCTGTTTTGATTACTATAGCCATGTAGTATGATTTGATGTCAGGTAGCATGATACCTCCCACTTTGTTCTTATTTCTCAAGATTGCCATGGCTTTTCAGGGTCTTTTATGGTTGCATATAAATTTAAGGATTATATGTTTTATTTCTGTGAAAAATGTTCTTAGTAGTTTGATAGAAATTGCATTGAATATATATATATATATATATATATATATATATATTGCTTTAGGTAGTATGGACATTTTAAC